CTCTTTCCCCGTTATAAATTGTTAAAGGTGAATGCATGAGAATTCAGCCATCCAGGAATATCACAAGTCAAAAACAGTAGTTGCAGAGGAATCTGAATGCCAAATTAATAAGTATATGCTCAAAAGTATAGCGTTTAGACCACTAGAGTTATACAGGATGCAATAAATATATTATGACAAGTGTACCCAAAACAAATTGTTCTCAGAATATACAAGATAAACAATATCAATACCTTCTTATCTCGCCATAAGATAAAAATGTCAACAAATCAAGATAAATAATATCAATACACAAAGTCAAACCAATAAAACCATCCATACCTTCCCATCTCGCCATAAGCCTTTGAAAGGTTCTGACATGCTTCAATTGTATCTGCATGATGAGGACCAAGAGCTACATCCATGATATCCTTTGCTACTGCAAACATTTGCGCTGCTGACTGGGGTCTATCCAACTCTAAATATGCTGCCCCCAAATTGTTGTATATGTAACCCACTCCAAAATGCTTGGGACCAAAGCTATCTTTCAATCTTTCAGCAGCACTTTCCAAATAAGGAATAGCCTGCTGCACCTTACCTGTCAACAATAGTAACCAACCTATTCTCGCAGAGACACTTCCCTCCGAGTGCTGCTCTTGTGGCTCCTTCTCAAGCAAAGCTAGTGTCCTCTTCAGCAATGAAATTGCAGTTTCAAACTCGTTCATGGTTTCATATTGCATTGATATCTCCGAGTAAGCCTCAGCGACTTCCACAGGTGAAATCCTTTCTCTTCTGTCAAGAATCCCAAGAGAAACCTCCAAACACCTTTTGCATTCCGCAAACTTTTCCTGATTACACAGCGCTTTCGCCATCGATATGAGCACAAGAGCTCGAGTCTCACTGTCCTTCTCCGTCTGCTGCACAACCCCCGTCAAAGTACCAACAGCCTCATCATACCTCCCCAGAGCAATCATCATATTCGCAGCGTCAACCTCAGCACGCAACAAATCAGCGTTAAGATTCCAATTCTTCAAAATCCTCTGCGCCAAAACATTCTGCTCCAGGGCCTTCTCATGCTCCTCCAGCCCACTATACACAATCCCAAGAAGCTTCCTATCGTGTGCAACCTCCACTGAATTCTGCCCCAACCCCTTTGTATGAATCTCCAACGCCTTCAAACAATACGGCAAAGCCTCCTTAAAGTTCAAAACCGCAACATAAGCCTCAGCCAAGTCACGGTTGGCCTTACCTAACTCCCCACTATCCTCCTCAAAAGTCATCTCCTTAATCTCCAAACACTTCCTAAGATTCTCAAGAGCCTCCTCCCTCCTCCCCATGGCATTCTTCACATTGGCCAATTCAAGCTGCACAGCATGCAACACAGCCCTAACATCATCAACACTAACCCCACCCTCACCCTCCAACCTACCCAACACCCTATTGGCCCTATTAAGGTACCCTAAACTATCATTGAACCTTTTCAAGCTATAACTAACAGACCCCAACAACTGCAAACACATGGCAACAGGCAAACAAGGGGTGTTATCTTTGTCCAAGGCTTTCAAAGCCCTGTTAGCAAAGGAAAGAGCTTTCTCGGGATCCTCACCTTCGTGGTCCAATTTGAGGCCAATTTTCAGGGAAGCCAAACCGAGCTCTCGCTCGTCGAAAACCCCCTCCATGTAACGGAACGCCTTGAGCATTTCCTCGGTGGTTTCTGCGGACTCGAAAGCCTCCTCAAGCTGCGATTTTTCCATGATTTTGCGTTGCCTTGAGGGGATCGGAGAGGGTTTCGGGACGAGGGTGTCCATGTTTCGAAATGGGGTGGTCACGAACTTGTTGGGTCGGATGAGAAACCCGTGGGTTTTGGTGCAGCGGCTGAAGGGTGCATCGGAAGCGTACGATTTGGAGAATGAGGAAGTTGGTCTGCGACGAGCGAGGAGAGAGAGCGAACTCCACAGTTTTCTCATGTTGGTGAGTTCAGTTCAGGAGCTTTTGGTCGCTTACAGTTTGGAGTTAAGCCTTCGCAAAACCCTCCATTGAAGGGGAGATAGGTAAACACTCTAAACGCCGTCGTTTTCGGGTTTTCCCACTATGTTATTACATTGTACTTTTCTTAAAATATGTAGCCCTTTTTGCAGGCCTTGTTGTAGACCTCAGTAAATAGGCATTATATTGTGCTTCATTAAATTCAGCGTAAGTGTTGCAGCGTCCGTCCGGGGGGCGTGCTATCCACATTTGGAATTATTTGATGCTTCACCTAATGCACTCGGAATTTTCCTACTTTGTAATAATATTGCGATTTTTTAATTACTCGTTATCTATTTTTTAAAAAAAATAGCTTGCACGACAGATTTTGTAGTTTGGTTTAATTTAATATTTACATTATTATTATTATTATAAAATACTTTTATATTGTTTTATTATCATCCTTTCTTTTTCATCTTCGATCTTTATGAATTGTGATTATAGCATTATATAAAAATATTAATGTCTAATATATAATAATTACTAAAAATGTATTTATATTACACTAAAGTTTACTATTAGCGACAATTATTTATTAGAAAAAACTTAAGTCTCACAACGATTAGAGATAAGATAATTAAATAATATATAAGTGAGTAATAATTATCATCTTACATGTTCATTTTATAGGGTTGACTCCTAATTCACTATTCTAAATTGGTATCAAATCACTCATTATTACCAAATTCAATAGTGTTATAAAACAATTAGAGAGAAACTTTCACCTTATAAATCTCACATTTCTTAAGAGACAAGACAATTAAAAAAATAAATTAAAAAACATATAAATAAAAGACAACTCTCATCTTACAAATCTCACATCGAGTAGAGATAAAAAAAAAAGTATATGTTATGAATTTAGAAAAGAAAATTATAGGAATAAATTATTTAAAGTAAAAGAGACAATTGAAAAAAAAATAACTTTTAATAGCCTTTAAAATGGCTACTAGAATTGCCACTAAAAAAAATAAGTTTTTTCCGAAAATTTTGTATATCTTTACCAGCATTTTATATAAATGTCGGTAATAGTATTAGCGACACTGGATATATCAGCCTTTATTTAAATGCTGGTAAAAAAAATAATGACCATTTATATGGCCGCTAAATAATAAATTAATTGCTAAAAAAAATAATTTTAGCGTAGTGTAGTATCATTAAAAGTATTAAAATTGTTCATTTTAACAGGTTGGCCTAATGGTTTAACAAGTTGAGCTAACTAGGACAAAAAAAAATTGGTTTAAAAAAGAATTAGATTAATGTAGTAAAGTTGATACCACAAATTTCTAACTTCAAAATCTACAAGACCTATTTAATTCAATATTTTAACTTTTTTGATAAAATTTAAATAAATATAGGAAATAAAATAAAATAGAGTTAATTTGGTCTAAGCCAACAAGTTAGATTACGTCACAAAATAAGTAGTTTTTAGTAAAATCTAGTTCATATACATGTATTGACTAACACGAATTAAGTCGATAAAACTTGATCTGACACATTTGACAGCTCTAAGCGTCATTGTACATTGTTATCAAAAGCGATTTTTGACAACATTGCTAGTTTTTCTTTCGCTTTTTCTCTTCTTTTTCTCACTTTTTATATCTCTCTTCTTCTCTTTCCCTTTTTCTTCTTTGG